TTTTGAGGACGTCTTTGACGATGAAGGGGCAGCGTCGCTCCCAGAATACTCAAAGAGGGCAGAGCATGCCATCGATATTGAGGAGGGGAAGCAACCCCCGTGGGGACCAATCTACAGCCTCTCAGAGAAGGAGTTGGCGACGCTTAGGGGTTACATTGAGGATTCGCTTCAGAGGGGCTGGATCCGTCACTCGACGAGCCCAGCTGGAGCGCCCATCCTTTTCGTCCCAAAGCCAGATGGCCCCAAGTGCCTATGTGTCGATTATCGAGGGCTTAACGCCATGACAGTGAAGAATCGACACCCAATCCCTCTTATTTCGGAAATACTCGACCGCCTAAGTGGGGCCGCAGTGTTCACGAAGCTTGACGCAAAGGATGCGTACCAGCGTATGAGAATCCGAAAGGGGGACGAGTGGAAACCGCCTTCCGAACAAGGTACGGCCTGTTCGAATATTTAGTGATGCCGTTTGGTCTGTGCAACACCCCCGCATCATTCCAGGCATATATCAATGAAGCGTTCGCAGGCCTTGTAGATGTGATGTGCATTGTCTACCTTGACGACGCCTTGATCTATTCGAAGTGCAAGGAAGAGCATCCGCAACACATCTGCACTGTCCTCGAACGCCTACGGAAGTTTAAGATCTACTGCAATCTAAAGAAGTGCAAATTCTCAACAAAAGAGGTTGAGTTTCTAGGCTTCATTGTGTCTATGAAGGGGGTCTCAATGGACCTATCGCGGGTCGAGACAATCACAGACTGGCCGGTGCCAACAACCTTCCGAGACCTACAGGTCTTCTTAGGCTTTGCGAACTTCTACCGGAGGTTCATCGCGGACTATTCACGTATTGCGCAACCGCTCACAGAACTCCTTAAGGGGAGTGAGAAAGGGAAGAAGGTAGGCCCGTTCCTCTGGAACGTTGAGGCAGCGGGGGCTTTTCAGACGTTGAAAGATGCTTTCACGTCCGCCCCTCTCCTCCGCACTTCGACCCAGCTCAGCCGATAAGGTTGGAGACCAACGGCTCAGGAATGGCGATTGCGGGAATTCTTACGCAGCCATATACCGACGTAGCGGGGGTCACACGGTGGCACCCCATTGCCTTCTATTCGAGGAAATTGAAGGATGCAGAGATCAGGTATGACACCCATGATATTGAGCTTCTCGCGATCGTCGCGGCCTTTAAGCATTGGCGTCACTACTGTCAAGATAGCAATTTTCCCGTTATAGTACGGACGGATCATAATAATCTGATTTACTTCATGAAGAAAGTATCAATCAATAATCGGCAGGCCCACTGGAACGAGTTCCTAGCAGGTTTCGATTTTCAGATTGAACATAGGCCTGGCCGCACCAACCCTGCGGACGGTCCGAGTCGCAGACCGGACTAAGTCGAAACGCAACATCAAGCATTTGACGGGTTGTTACCCACGCTTCAGCAGAAGTTGGCCCGTGGCTATAGCGAAGCTGTAGAGAACAGCGAGGGCGATGCGTCGCAAAAGAGTACTCGAATCCGCGCCGTCTTCGCAAAAGCGGGCGAGCGAACGGTAACCCAAGATATCCTCCACGAAGTGGACAAGTTAAAGCTGCACCCCCGCGAGGGGCACACAGAGGATACGCAAGCTTTCCTGCCTCGCTGTCACGTGATGTGAGAGGCAGCTACAGAAGCACCGTACGAGGAGCCATCCCTTGATCTTCGCAAGCTCATCGTTCAAGTCCAAAGTGGTGACCCATTCTTGAAGGATCGAGTGTTGCGAATGACAAAGAGGCGTCCACGGACGGAAGGCGTAGAGGGAGAGTGGGCTCTTCATCAGGAAAAGCGGAGTCCTTTCGAGGGAAGGCATCATCCCCTTTCCTCAAGACTCAGCCCTCATTGAAGAGCTCCTCCGAATCCATCATGATGACCCGTTAGCAGGTCACTTTGGCGTGGCGAAGACCACAGAACTACTTACTCGGAAGTATAAGTGGCCAAAAATGAGGGAGGACGTAAAGGAATACGTTAAGACCTGTCAAATCTGCCAGAAAATGGTAGTGAAGCATCACCGCCCGTACGGCGAGTTGCAGCCGCTTCCACAACCAAACGGCCCAGGAGAAGAGATCTCTGTGGACTTTATAACAGGCCTCCCACCAAGCCTTCACCCGTTGATGAAGAAGGCGTACGATTCCATACTTGTAGTTGTGGATCGATACACAAAGTATGCCTTATATATCGCAACGAATAAGACGGTGAATGCCAATGATTTGGCAATGCTTATCCTCCGCTACGTTATCACAGAGTTCGGGATTCCAAAGGGAATTGTCTCCGATAGGGGATCTGTATTCACAAGTAGCTACTGGTCTTGCCTCTGTTATTTCTTAAAGATTCGCCAGCGTTTGAGCACCGCTTTCCACCTGCAGACGGATGGACAAACTGAGCGCCAGAATCAAACAATTGAACATTACCTTCGGTCGTATTGCACAAGCTCCCAGGACGAGTGGGTAGTACTCCTACCCATCGCCCAGTTCTCATATAATAACTCCTTCCATTCGACAATTCAAACAACACCTTTCCGGGCATTAAAAGGCTTTGATCCTCGTATGCCAGATGTGAGTGTCGCGGACGCCCCTCAAAAGGGGGACGCACTCAAGCCGTTTGAAAGAATACAGAAGCTCCAGGAGGAAAGGGAAGTGCTGGCGCACCATTGGCTCCGAGCGACGCAGTCGCAGACGAAGCACTATAATCTCAAAAGGAAGCCAAAGGAATATAGCATGGGGGACCAAGTCCTCCTTTCCACAAAGAACATCAAGCTACGGAGGCCAAACAGGAAGCTTGCGGAGCAGTTCGTAGGACCCTTCAAGATCGTAGAGATCATTGGGAAGCAGGCCTATAGGCTTGAGTTGCCTTGGGACATGGGGATCCACCCAACCTTCCACGTGTCATTGCTAGAGCCACACCACAAGAGGCAGTAAGCTCACGCACAGGTCACGGATAGTAAACACAAGAGTAGAAAAGCCACATAGGGCATCAATTCGCTATTCTAGAACCGGAGCTCAACTATCTAATGTGGCGCAAGCGTTATCAGGCGGCGACGTCACCATCTTCAACGTCGGAGAAGTCGTCGTTGGAGATGTGGGAGCGAACGGGGGAGGGCTCACGGCTGACAGGCCAGCTTGGCCTCCAGCTCTAGGTCGTTGTCATCTTCGCCAGGGAAAGCCTCTGACTCCGCCTCGCTATCGGAGCTCTCGTACTCCTCGCAGGTGGCGACAGCGAGATTGTGCTGGTGCTAAGAGAGGTTAGTTGGAGAACAGGAAGGGAAACGGGAGCGACGCGTACCTTTGCCTGATACATGTCGGCCTTGAAGCGCGCGACACGCTGAAGTGCCTTGGTGCTGTCGGCAACAGCAAGGAGGGCGAGGCCGACGTCGATCTTCTCGGGCTTACTGTCCGCACCGAAGGCGCGGCGGCGACGAAGGAGATTCTTGCCACGCTGGACGAACTGGGTGTACTTGGCCTGGCGGGCCTTGAGGATTTGGGAGCGGGCCTTGATGACAGGGACAACCATCTCATCCACGTTCCAGGAAGCCATAAATTGCGCGTGCGCAACCATCATGCGATTGAATCTCTTGATCACAAACTTGGGGATCTAAAACAGATTAGGCCGAGGACAATCAAGCGATGCGGGGGATGTGTGGAGGACTCATGGGCAAGCAGCAACAGTGTTGATCCGAGCAATACTGGCATCGGGCCATGCTGTTCGCGCGGGTGCATTTCAGCTCCGTCTTGAACTTGAAGACGTTCTTGGAGCAGCATAGACACATTGGGATGACGGGCTTCTTGCAGGGGGCACGCGAGGGGCTGAACTCCCCACCAAGAACGGAAGTGTTCGCGGGGCGGTCGAAGCGCTGTGGCGTGCCCATAGCGGGGAAGGCAATCAGGCGAAGAGCAGCTCCTTGCTTGGGGCGCCATCCTCACTTGCGACGGTGGCCGAGCGTGTCTGGCGCGGGGTCGCCTCAGGCGCGGGATGACGGGGAATGAGCTCATCATCGTCCTCGACAGATGGAAGGACAGCTTTACCCTTCTCCTTGGCCTTGGCAGTGGGCTTGTGGGGGCGAGTCTTCTTAGGGGCGGTGGTCTTTCCACCTGGCTTGGAGGGGCCAGCGGGAGTGAGCCCGGCTGGGTCCTTGTTGTCACCTTTGTGGGGAGGCATGGTGGCGGCAGCGAAGCGCAAGAGAGTGTGGAGTGTGAAGCTGTTTGAATTAGAAAAGGTTCAAGAAGACTCAAGGAGTCCACGTACCAAAAACAGAGGAGCTGCGAGGGTGCAGCGTTGTGGTGTGGAAGAGGTTGTGTTGTATCAAAACAAAAGGAGAAGCGAAGCCAGAAAGTGGGAAATTCACCACAGCAAACCAAAACAACAACAACAACGCATAGGCGGGTGGTCAGCGTTCAGTCTTCGTATCAATAGACCAGGATTCTACGTATATTCCTTCCCGTGACTTCCCACTGCCCTACTCGCCAAGAAGTCCTTTACACTGCGAGGCTGCAGGGCTACTACTGCACTATTTACTCTACTATTCGGCGTATTACAAGTCCACTATCGGCGGTGTCCCGCTCCCTCCAACCAAAATTCTAGACAGCGCCCAGACACGCCCGACCCATCTCGCGGCCTCGTAATCCTCCCTCAACTCTCCTCAACCACGACCATACCGACTCTCCTTACCCTTCGGCGTGCTTTATTACTTTCTTTCAAGCGGTGCAATACTATCATAGAAGACTCAACAATTAATATTCATCCCCGAGCGTCCGAGTACTTACATTCCAAACAACCAAAAGCCGAAGACCACATCTGTATCTAATATCCATCACCGTCGCATACATACACATTGACGCCCTCACCCTTGCTCAACAGACCCTCCAACACAATACCTCTGACCTGACCCCATAAGCAAAGGTCCCACGACCGCTCGACTTCGCACTCCGACACCCACGCCACCTTCCACCTGACCAACACCCCCCCCCCCCCCGGATCACCTCCTCCACAGCACAATGCAGTACGTGCGGAGCATCAGCGGCTCCGTCTCGACGACATGGAACTCGATCAACCCAGCCACACTCAGCGGCGCAATTGACGTCATCGTCGTCGAGCAGGAGGACGGCTCGCTGGCCTGCTCGCCCTTTCACGTGCGCTTCGGCAAGTTCTCGCTGCTGCGCCCGTCGGAGAAGAAGGTCGAGTTCCGCGTGAGCAACGTGAAGCAGGACTATGCTATGAAGCTGGGAGACGGTGGCGAGGCCTTCTTCGTCTTCGAGACCAGCAATGATATCCCCGAGGGGCTGCAGACGTCGCCGTTGGTGTCGCCGGCGTCGAGCCCGCCGCTCGAACCAGAGGGGTCTGTCGTGGTTGGGCTGCAGGAGCCGGATTTTCTGGATCTGACGACGGATGAGAAGGGGAAGAGACCACCGCCGTCGTCGGTTTTGCAATCTCCGGCTCTGCAGAAGGAGGCAAACAACCTAGGTAAGCAGGGTTTGCCTTCGATATTGAATAGCACTAATATTACCCCAGATATCTACGGGCAGCTTGCGGGCCCTCCGGAAGTTACACTTGAGAGGCCGCGATCGGGCGACTGGTCGGGGCTGTCGCTCGAACCACGCGCCGCCAGCGATAGATTTGTCGAAAAGCGAAGGACATACAGCAATCAAGAGACCTATCCATTAGACAGCCAAGGCCGATCTGTGGTACCAGCTCTGGGACAAGATGGCCCATCCGATACATTTACCGAACGCTCACAAAGCCCTCCATTGCCTACGCGTGAGGCGATCGAACGGGCAATTTCGCTCTCGAAGCAGCTGGCCGTGTCGAATATCCCTTCACATGTGACAGATACGGGAGATCTGATGCTGGATATGACGGGATACAAGAGTAGCGACGACGATGCATTACGGGCAGAGGTCATTGCCCGCAAGCTGCTGTCAGAAGAGCTAGAGGGAAACTACGACATTGGAGCGCTTATCGGAGCTGACGAGCAGGGGAACCTGTGGATCTACAGTAGCGAAGAGGCAAAGGAGGCAGCTGTCCACCGAGCCCAGCTCGCCGGTATTCGCCCTGCCCCTGCCATTCTCACGAGTGACGTCGCGTCCGACCCAGGCTACCACAGCGACGGAGGCGATAGCGACTCGGCCGAGATCAAGGCAATGCGCCTCCGCTCCGACTCTGACCAGTTCCCCGGCCTCGAAATCCCGCTCCTTCCCCTCGCAGAAGCTAGCACCGCCGGCGACCCGAACAGGAACTATGCCAAGACCCTGCGTCTGACGTCCGACCAGCTCAAGGCGCTGAATCTCCAGCCCGGCCCGAACATGATGTCCTTCACGGTCAACCGCGCGACTTGCACGGCGTACATGTACCTCTGGCGCCACGACGTCCCGATCGTCATCTCCGACATCGACGGCACGATCACCAAATCCGATGCCCTGGGCCACGTGCTCAACATGATCGGCCGCGACTGGACGCACATCGGCGTAGCGAAGCTATACACCGAGATCGAAGCGAACGGGTACAACATCATGTACCTGACCTCCCGATCCGTCGGACTGGCCGACACCACGCGCGCCTACGTCGCCGGCGTGGTGCAAGACGGCTACCGCCTTCCTCGCGGACCCACAATCATGAGTCCCGACCGCACGATCGCGGCGCTTCGGCGCGAGCTGTACATCCGCAAGCCGGAGGTGTTCAAGATGGCCTGTCTGCGGGACATCAAGAACCTATACGGCGATGGGCGGACGCCGTTCTACGCAGGTTTCGGGAACAGGCTCACGGACGCGTTGTCCTACCGCAGCGTCAGCATCCCGAGTAATCGCATCTTCACGATTAATAGCTATGCGGAGGTGAGCTTGGATCTGCTGTCGCTGAATAAGCTGAAGTTGAGCTATGTCAATATGCGCGAGGTTGTGGATCACTACTTCCCGCCGGTGAGTATGCTGATTAAGGGGGGTGGAGAGGAGTTTACGGATTTTAATTACTGGCGCGATAAGCCGATGGAGATGGAGGATTTTAGTGCGTCGGAGGACGAGGACGAGGATAAAGGTGAGGATGGGAATGAGGGCGGTTCGGAGCGCGGGTCGGATGATGGGGATGACGATAGGGAGTCTGGGAATGGGGATGATGGCGACGAGGATGTAGGCGATATGGGGGATAGCTATATCAGCCGCGACTCGATCGATGAGTACGATGAGGAGGATGGAGAGGAATATGACGAGGAGGACGATACGGCTGATATCAGTAATATCAACGACGACGCCGACGAGAGCGCTGCGCCGCTCCTGGAAGACATGCCGACGCCAGTTCCTCAGGGAGATAGAGACGCGACGCCTAGCGCGGAGGCGGTGAGATCACCTAGCAGGGGAGGATATACTGAGGATCCGGATGCGGATCTGATCTCTGGGATGGAGGGGCTGATGAGGCAGGAGGAGAGTCCGCACGTGGAGCAGAGGAATACGAATAACTCGAAGGGAGCTGCAAAGGGGTATGGAAAGGATTATGATGTGCATGGAGTGAGGTGAAGGGTGTGTAGGATGGGGGGGGGGGGGACGGAATGGATGGGATATACCCTGGAGTTGAAGCATTGTGGGTGTGGCGGATGGGGTTTAGTAGTAGTCATGGGGGTATAAGGCGTTTTAGATGGGATATTTTGGTGGGAGATATACAGACGCATAGCGAGAGAAGGGGGGGGGATATTGTCATATTAGCTATATATATTATATGAAAAGAGAACAGAATATGGGAATAAAAAAGTTGGAACTTTTTTATTCCCATATTCTGTTCTCTTTTCTCTTTTCTCTTGAAGCCGAACGGCCTGCCTGGATTCCTGTGATTTCTACTTTCTACGGACCTTCCCAAAAACAAAAACTCTTGGCAATATCTCGGTCGTCGCAGGGGTTCTGATACCACGGCCATTAGCCCAACCCCAACCAAACCAACAACCAAACCAACCAAATCACTTCCCTAAAATGCAGGTAAGGAGTAAACACCTTCCTAACAAAACCACACTGCGGCTATGTACCGCTCCCTGCCCCGCAACCATAGCGGTGTTGGTGTACCATCCCGCGTCAGCCTGGCGCTTCGTGAGCTCGTCCCGAGTTCCCCGCCTACGACCCCTCCTTTCTCCAGGAGCTTCATACACGACTCCAGCTTGAACATACGCTCGCAATCATCGTACTCTAGAAATAATATACTACACTCACGACGACTACGATTGCGGCTGCGAACGAAGCAGGAACAGATACATCAGCATCATACAGACGCGATGGACGCTGCGGAGCTGGCGAATTATCTGGCGGACTCGCCGCCGACGGTTGTGCCGCTGGAGATTAAGAAGCATTTCGAGGCTTTGACGCCGAGGCAGAAGAGATACGCTCACTACATCTCCAAGTTTGCCCTCCCCCTCAACCCCCCCCCCTTCAACCCCCTCCCTATCCCCCTCCCCGCCCCCCTCTACCACACTCCCGGCTAACCCTCACCACCCCAGAGCCTCCTTCGCCGGCACGCGCATCATCTTTCGCCAAGTCTCACCCGAAAGCGAATCCATCTACGACTTCATCCTCTCCCTCCACCGCGCCAGCGCCGGCGACTGGTCCGCCTACGCCACGCGCGCAGGGGTGAGCGCGCAGGACCTCCGCTACTTCCTCGAGTACGCCGCGCAGTTCCTCGGGAATAGTGGGAACTACAAGGGTTTTGGAGACTCGAAGTTCATCCCTCGGGCTCCGGAGTCGGCGTTAGCGGCGTTGGCGGCGCAGGATGAGACGGCGAAGGGGTTTTATGAGGCGACTAAGGGGGGGATTTTCGCGACGGAGAGGCAGGATTTGATGCATTTGGGGTTTACGGGGGAGGGGCACATGACGACGTATTACCCCGATAGTCCTGGGATTATGAAAGCGGAGATCGAGGCGGTGAGCGCGTGGATGGTGGGTGTGGGGTTACTGCCTGAGAATACGCGGTTGAGGAAGAACGAGGCGGGGGGGTTTGAGATCCTGATCGCGTCGGCGGTTACGCAGGTTCCTGCTGAGGGGGGCGATATTGGGAAGGAGACGAGGTTTGTGGTTAAGGAGGGGCTGTTGGAGGGGAAGACGATTAAGCTCATGTATGGTGACCATGCGAGGGAGATGGCTGCGATTGCGGGGTGGCATGCTAAGGCGGCGGAGGAGGCGGAGAATGAGAATCAGAAGTTGATGCAGCTGGCGTATGTTAAGTCGTTTGAGACGGGGTCGCTGCTTGCGTTTAAGGATTCGCAGAGGTTTTGGATTCGCGATAAGGGGCCGATGGTTGAGAGCGACGTCGGCTTCGTCGAGACGTACCGTGACCCCCACGGCGTGCGCGGGGAGTGGGAAGGCTTCGCAGCAACAGTGAACCTAGAGCGCACCGCCGCCTTCACCGGGCTCGTCGCCAGCGCCGAGACCGAGATCCCCAAGCTCCCATGGGGCCCCACATTCGAGAAAGACACCTTCCTCAGCCCCGACTTCACAAGCCTCGAGGTCCTCGCCTTCGCCTCCTCCGGCATCCCAGCAGGCATCAACATCCCCAACTACGACGACATCCGGCAAACCGAGGGCTTCAAGAACGTCTCCCTCGGCAACGTCCTCAGCGCCGTCGCACCACACGAAAAAATCCCCTTCATCCGCCCCGAAGACCTGGCGCTGTACGAGAAATACCGCGGCCAGGCCTTCGAGGTCCAAGTAGGCGTGCATGAGCTCCTTGGTCATGGGACGGGGAAGCTCTTGCAGGAGACCGCACCGGGGGAGTTTAACTTCGACCGCGCCAACCCGCCCGTCTCGCCTATCACGGGGAAGGCGGTAGAGAGCTACTACAAGCCCGGCGCGACGTTCGGGGGGGTCTTTGGGGCCATCGCGTCGAGTTACGAGGAGTGTCGCGCGGAGTGCGTGGCGATGGCGCTGGGGTGCGAGTTTAGCGTGCTGAAAGTGTTTGGGTTTGGGACGGGGGAGGTGGACATGGATGGTGAGGCGGGGGATGTGCTGTATGTGAGTTACCTCAGCATGGCGCGCGCGGGCATCGCGGCGTTGGAGCTGTGGGATCCAAAGAGTAGGAAGTGGGGACAGGCGCATAGTCAAGCGCGTTTCAGCATCCTTAAGTGTTTCTTGGAAGCCGGTGACGGGTTCTGCGAGCTTTCGTACAAGGAGGGCGGGGACATGAGTGATCTAGCGGTTAAGATTGATCGGTCTAAGATCCTGACTGTAGGACGCAAGGCGGTGGAGGAGTACCTGCTGAAACTGCATGTGTATAAGTCTACAGCGGATGTGGTGGCGGGGACGGAGCTGTATGAGCGGATGACGAGGGTTGAGGAGGGGTTTTGGGCGGAGAGGGTGAGGGGGCAGGTGATGAGGCAGAAGCAGCCGAGGAAGGTGTTTGTGCAGGCGAATACGGTGATGGGGGGGAGGGGGAGGTGGTGTTGAGGGTGCAGGAGACGAGTTTGGAGGGGATGGTGGCGAGTTTTGCGGAGAGGGCGAATTAGGGGGGTTGTGAGAGGGGGAGGATAAGTAGTGTAGGTGGTGGAATCACAGATTTTAGTCTGGTGTTATTTGGTGTCTTCGGTGGGGGTCGGCGCGTGATGTCTGTGTGTTTATAACAGACAAGACATCAAGTTACAGAAGCAATTTCCACAATCTTAGCAGACTGACTTGGGCACATCGTTAACCAGCCCAGTTCAAGGAACTATCATTACTTAGGCGTCATATTTGGAAGAGTGTTTACACACGTCCATTCCCCGCAGCTCCAGGTATAGTTTAGCCGTCGGTGGAGATGGCGTAGTGGTTAACTGATGGTTTAGTTTCCTCTGCTGCCACTATGAGGTTATTGATAAAGAGGTGTCTGTAAATATTAGATGTAGTTATTTTTGATGGAGCGTTGATTGGTGAGACCTTCGGCGCTGTAATAAGGAAGTATTGCAGCAACTGCAAACACCAGTCGCCTCAGTAAGATATATCTTACAATAAATAGCAGGAGGGGCCGATGGTTTCAGTTTAACCAATGGCACAGTCACAAATCACATGTCGCATTGGGTGGGCTGGCGATGCCAACATGGATGGACAGGAGGACTTCGTCGAGGTTTTGGCGCATGCTGTAACACTGCTCGAAATGCTCTCCGCATAATTAATAGCCAATTAGGATGACAGTATAGAAATAAGTTGAATATAAACTTATCTGCACCCTTCAACAAATCATTGGCTAAAGTTAAGCTTAACTGCATAGCTGTAGGTTTATGTTTCTAAAAGGTGCGGAGGGAGAAAGGGAATAGCAAGAACGAACGATGGAAAAAGGTAAACTGGAAGGAATGGGAGGGAAAAACAGGACGGAACCGAAGAGGGAAAGAACGAACAGGGAAAGGGATAAAATAGGGGAAGACTAATATAATATATAGTTAGGGGGGGGGCAGGTGGTGTTGAAGCCCCGTCCATTCTTCTCCTCCCAAGGCCAAAGCCAGACTTTGTCTTCGGGTTCTCCCAGTCGGCCTTTACCAGCAACCAGGTTGCAAGTGAGCCTCACTTAGTCGACAGCGTATCTGGGCATGGCTGATGCTGTCGTTTGGTCCCTACCGCCGTCGGTCTCGAGCGGGGCGGGGAGTTCTTGTCACCGCAAGCCTATTGCTGTCACTTGGCTGAAAACATCCAGCAGGCGGGGGAGATAGGAAAGAGCGAGGCAAGGGAAAAGGAAAGAGCGACCTACGAAAGAGAGTAGGAGGGAAAGAGCGAGCCAGGGAACCAGGGAAGGCACGACTGAGGCAGTGGCAGCCAGAATAATTGTGCGGCTGGTTGCATTTGGCCCTTGGAAATACCCAGAAGCCCAAAGTACATGTCATTTATCTATGTTGTGGCTGTGCTGTAATAAAGGTGCGTTATTGGATATGTGTGTTTTGGAATTGCTCAGGGGCGCGTCACTGTTCTGAAATGATATGGCAGGCTAGGGGCCGGTGACAGGAATATCGCGACGGTAGGTAGTGTGGTGATAGCGAGAGCGGCGGCGGTGAGAAGGAAGCGGTGTGTGAGTAGCGTCAACTGGCGGACTTTCTTGCTAGATGTTCGAATGGCGTCCTCGATACTCTGAAGCCTAATGAGCACGCCTTCTCGGAACGCCTTGGTTTCTTCCCTCGCGTTCTTATCGCCTGTCCGTAATCTCCATTCTCGTTGATCCTGTTGTCGCCCTGTCTGTCGATCGGCACAGGAGGAGCCGCGTTCTCTAGTGTAGTCAGCCGCCGGACAGGTTCATATACCATCGGCGGAACTGGCAATGGCTGGTCGCGATGGACCTGCTGGATGGTGACCCCCGGAATAGGATTGTATAACGGAGGCAAGGAAAATACAAAATCGGCAAGCATAGCATTACATGAACGTCTTTATATTGATCATCATCTACCATCCTACACACACACCCACTTACAACTTGCTCCCAGCCTTCCCCTCCACAATCCTCACCAACGCCCTCCCATTACTCAAACACACCTTCCCCCCCTCCACCTGCGTCACAAACCTAATCTCCTCAAACCCATCCTTCCCCCCTCCCACCCTCCACGCCTTCGTCACAAGCTTATCCCCCGGCTTAACCGGGCTCGCGAACCTCGCCTGGAACTCCCTCAGATTCTCCGGCTGGCTCCCCCCAAACTGCCTCAGGATATCGCGCGCGGTGAAGTTCCAGCTCGACAAGCCGTGCATGATGGCCCCGCCGAAACCCATCTGCTTCCCCGGCTCGGGGGTCGCGTGGAGGGGGTTGTAATCGCCGTTTAGGCGGTAGAGGTGTGCGGATTCGGCGGTGGTTTGGTGCTCGAGGACTGCGTCTGGGGCGCGGTCTGGAGGTGGGAAGTTGACGGTCGCTGGACCCTTGGGGCCGCCCCAGTTGCCTTGTCCGACGTAGAATCCCGACCCAACGGCTCTCGTATACGACTCTCCCGTCCCGGCATCAACGAGGTCCTGCTGTGTCTCCACGACGGTGCCGGCCTTGCCTTTGTCGTAGACGCCGAGGACTTTAGTGCGGATCTCGAACTTCTTGCCGGCGGAGGTGGGAGGGAGGGGCTTGAGGAAGCTCATGGAGCGCTGGCCGTCGAGGACGCGGCGGGAATCCATTTTGGGGATGCCGGGGATGGGGGTCTGGGCTTGGGAGGCGTAGAAGTCGATGACTTCTTGGGTTGTGGTTTTGAATGCTGCAGGGAGGGGTTAGTTGGGAGGTGGTTGTGGTTGGCTTGGGGGGGGGGGGGGGCGTACGGAGGAGGATGGGGTAGGTTGGGAAGACGGCGAATTTGGGGTGGAGTTCCTGTTTGGGGGGGGGGGGTTAGTGGTGTGTGGTTTGAAAGAATGGGGATGGGAGGGCGTACGTAGAGGAACTGCAGCTCATCGACTGTGCAGCCAATACTGGTTGCGAAGAGGAGGACATCGCGCTGGAGCCATGATACCTCGACGGGGGGGTATTCGAAGCCAGCTCCGGGGTTTGCGTTGCTCATGATGGCGGTATTGGTTTATAAAAAAAGAATCCGTTAAATGGGTATGTAGATTGTATAGTATGCAATTGAAAATCGAAGGAAGCCCGGGGGGAGCTGGGAGCTATATACGTTATATAAATAAGACTAATTATACAAATGGGGCTGTGGATGATGAGGGGGATTTACCCCAGTTCTGGGGTAATCGGCTACGAAGGATTGGGGCGATGCCGAGGTCTAGGTGTTGGGGTTTAGTGTAGCCTTGTTGGAAATAGCCTCGGATCAGCCTTGTCGTTGGTTGCGCCATAAGTTAACTTGCCATAGGCTAACACTTAAAGAATTATAACAGCGAGAATATATAAACGAGATTTCTATATTCCACTCTTACCCCCCCCCAAAATCATTACATCGTCATTACTCCCACCCACCCGTTCTCCCAAATGAAACCCATGCCCCCCCAAAACGCCACCATCCAATCCGAAAAGCCAGACCGGACCCAATCTACCCCAACGCCCATCCCAAAAACATAATTCCTCGCCGCCCCTCACCCCGCCGCGCCGCCCTCCCGGGCCACCCCCCCCAAAAAAAGATAACAGCTGAGCTGAGTGATCGATAGCATATCCATACACTTCCCCTCTCCCTTCCCCATTTTTCCCTCCTTCGCTTCAGACAGATCATCGTTCATTGTCAATACCCCTCCGCCCCAAACCCACACTCCAACAAATTTGGCCTTATCGTCCCATCCCCCCCCATAGCACCCATCCCCATCCCTCCATCACCGCCGGCGTACAAGCCCCCCCTCATCAGGGCTCTCATCTGCGCCTCCATAGCCGCTGGTCCGGTCCACTGGGGAAGTTCCCTGAAATCGAGACCTTGTTGCTGTTGCTGTTGTTGCTGCTGTTGTTGGAGGATCTGCATCTGGCTCGCCTGTTGTGCTCTCAGGGCCGCTTGTTGTTGTTGCTGTTGCTGCGGTGTGAGTTGGAGCTGGGTGGGGAGGCTCATTTGTGCACCCCCTGCTACTGCGGCGGTCGGGAGAGCGGGTGAGGAGGAGGAGGCGGGGATGAATTCCTCGTAGCCACCCTGTTGGAGGCTCTGCAGCCCATCCATTGCGAATGCCCCCGGCCCATCAGAAAAGGGTGACACGTCACCGTACCCCGCCCCACCGTCGACATCCCCAAAATCATCCTCCATATCAAACCCCGGATCAAAATCCTCACAAAACGAATCATCCCCAAACTGACTCTCCGGCCCCGTCACCGCGCTCAGTATCCCCCCCATCCCCTCCCCCTCCCCAGCACTAGCGCGCTCTTCGCTCTCTAACCTCCTTTGCAAGGCAGCGAACTCTCCCGCATCGGCGGGGAACTCGATAGCGCCGCCGCTTGTTGAACTTGAGGGGTCTGCACGGATACAGCCCAGTTTCGCGGCGATGTCGTGGATCACGGGTTGGCCTCGAGCGTTCACGACGGGGGGGTCGAGGGTCCATTGTTCGCCGGTGAGGACCATAGCGTAGAGTTTGTGCACGGTGGCGATGAGTGCGTACTGTGTATTCTCAAGGACCTCCGCGTAGCCGCGCGGCAGCTGCTTGAACTCCGCCTTCTTCCTGTGGCCGGCTGTGCAGACGAGGCCGTCATCGCGGCAGCGTTTGCAGGGGGATTCGCCATCGCACTGTGGGGAGATACTAATTAGCATGGATGGCTCTTTTGTGGTTTTGGCGTAAATGAGTAAAACTAACCTTCGTCTTCTTCATCCTACACCTCTCACAAGCCTTCCATACACGCTTATGCCTCCCATCTCCCATCTCCGGACTCCGGCTTCCACTCGGCGCCGCAGCAGTCACCCTCTTCGCCCCCCTCGGTCCGGGTTTGGAGCTCTTCGTCCGCTTGGAGGGTTTCTTGTGCGTAACATCGTTATCCGTCGACGGCGGGGAGGGGAGGGATGGTGGGTGTGGTGGTGGCATTTTTGCTTTTGTGTATGTGTGTGCGTGGGTGGGCGGATTTCAATAGTTTTTGTGGGACGTGGTTGTGACCAGGTCGTTGTGTGTTTATATGGGTGGAATGTGAGAATAGTGGTTATTCTCGTCTGTTTCCCCCTCGGAATTCCCGTAATGGGGTGTTGGTGCGGCCACGGCTGTTGATGTGTAGGACTTGTCCTGGCTGGCGTCCAGGATTATCAGCGTTTGTGTGTTTCGTTTCTTCTCCAATATTGTCCAAACTGTTGTCCGGTATGTGAAGTCCCGTCTCTCTTTTGGTCGCGTTCGAACTATTATAACCTTGCCGTACAATATATCCCTTCGCGGTTCGACCTTTTCCTAACCGTATATATGCAGCACAAATATCTCCTTCCTTAAAATACCGATTCCGATAAACAAATCAAATATTGGAAACTTCCAAAGTATTAAAATATTAAAAGCCGTCAGATGGTGGGGGGGATGACAGCTATATAAAAAAAACAGCCACAGACCAAAGGAAGATTCCAGGATACAGCAGTCATCGATGTGTACGAGTAAGTAACTTTGTACCTCCGGACTGTCGAGCCGCCGGGGAGATGATAAATCAGTACGCAGCGCCGAGAGTGGTGGTTAGGTTAGATGGAGTAGATGGAGTGGAAAATAAGAGCGGCGGGGTGGGCGAGTGGTAGGGAAAATGTGGGTTGGGGCGGTCGGTGGTGGAGTTTTGGGCGGGTTTGTGGGTGGATTTCTAAGCGTGATGGGGTGGTGGGCGGACGGCACAGTTGATGCCGAGGTTTGTGGTATTGTGTTTGTGGTTGTTATGTACGTAGGAGTGTATGCGTGGGTGGTGGTGTATGTGCGGATGGAAGGATTGGCAAAGAAGGCAGCGGTGCGGTAGAGAGTACTGTATTGGGGAAGAAGGGAAGGAAATGGGCATAAGGGTGATGGTGAAGGTATAAGGGTGACGTATAATGGTGATGTGATGGTATAAGGGTGAAGGGTGAGGGTGAGGGTGAGGGTGATGGTGATGGGTGAAGGGTGAGGGTGAGGGTGAGGGTGATGGTGATGGTGATGGTGAGGGTGAGGGTGAGGGTGAGGGTGATGGTATAAGGTGAAGGTAGGGTGAGGTATAATGGTGAGGGTGAAGGTAGGGTGAGGTATAATGGTGATGGGTGAGGTATAATGGTGATGGGTGAGGTATAATGGTGATGAGTGAAGGGAGGTGGGTGATGGTAGTGATGGTTAGATGGATGCAGGGCTATTTGAGGATTGTTTTATGACTTGTGAGAGATTGATGTTTTGGTTCTGTATGGGATGGCTGGCTCTGTATGGTTGGAAGGGGGGATGATGAGATGGGGATAGGACAGAGGAATAGTACAGAGCAGAGCATAAGGAGGATAGTACAGAACAGAGCATAAGGATAGGACAGAGGGAGGATAGGACAGAACAGAGGGAGATGGGACAGAACAGAGGGAGATGGGACAGAACAGAGGGAGGATAGGACAGAACAGAGGGAGGATAGGACAGAACAGAGCATAAGGATAGGACAGACAGCAGACAAGACAAGCACAATCAATAGTACAGGGCTGGCTGGATGGATGGATGGGTCTAGGGAATTGACAAAACACACATAAACACATAAACCCTCCCCCCTACCCGTCCACCGACCTACATAGTATGAGTCGCACGAGCGATGCGAGCAGTGGCAGCCCAACAACGGTGGGAACGACGAGGTAGTCGGAGATTCGATGGCGCCAAGCGAAATAAGAGCGAAGAGCGAAGAGCGAATAGCGAAAGCGAAAAGCGAAAGCGAAAGCGAAAGCGAGAAGCGAGAAGCAAGCAAAAAGTAATCTATGCCTAGCTTCCGCTAGTTCCTTGGTGTCTTCGTAGGCGGACGAAAGTCCGAGTGGTGGTTTTGATTGATTGCATACGTACATGGGGTAGGGTATCAAGTTTGAGGGATTGTACTCTGTGTGTACTCTGTTGTACTCGGGTAGTTGTAGTCGTTCGTGTGTACCTACCTATATTATAGTTGTAGTTGTAGTCGTAGTCGTTCGTGTGTACCTATATTATAGTTGTAGTTGTAGTCGTAGTCGTTCAGTGTGTACCTACATTATACCTACATTATAGTTCAGTATCGTAGTATCGTAGTATCGTAGTATCGTAGTTTCCTCTCTTCCCTCCTTGATATCAAGGTTTTCCTTGACAGACCTCGGGGACACAAGTGGCAAGTGCCGTGACAGCCGTGCGAGTGTCTGTACTCGCTGTATGGCCGTGGTCGATCAGCGTACAGTTGCCGTGCGACTCGAGCAGTGGGGTGTGTATGTACGAGTACGACCTACCCACCTACTCACCTTACTCCTTACTGGGGAACCCTGACTGTACGCATGTTGTCATGACTTCTTGGGCTCCTAACCCGTCGTTATGACATACCACTTCAGCAGCTGCTACACTCGCCAGTGTCCAGATCCCCCTAGCCCGACAGAGATAACCCTTCTTCCCGCTGTCTCGCACATCCAAAGATATGCAAGCATAACATTATGCACATCGCCCCGATGCTGTGTGGGGTTGTGGGCCGGGATGGCGCCCGGGAGGGTTCTAGTGGGGTTTTTTTTCTTTTAGTGGGCTGAGTGGTAAGCAGGGGGTAAGCGGGGGGGGGGTCAGGTTTGCTTTGTCATTGTGGGTGATGATGTTAAGCTTGGTAATGGTAGAGCTACGTAGTGTAGTTGACATAGTTAGAGGGGATAGTTAGAGGGATAGTTAGAGGGGATAGTTAGAGGGGATAGTTAGAGGGATAGTTAGAGGGGATAGTTAGAGGGGATAGTTAGAGGGGATAGTTAGAGGGATAGTTAGAGGGGATAGTTAGAGGGATAGTTAGAGGGGATAGTTAGAGGGGATAGAAGAGGGATAGTTAGAGGGGATAGTTAGAGGGATAGTTAGAGGGGATAGTTAGAGGGGATAGTTAGAGGGGATAGTTAAGAGGGGATAGAAGAGGGGATAGTTAGAGGGGATAGTTAGAGGGGATAGAAGAGGGGATAGTTAGAGGGGATAGTTAGAGGGGATAGTTAGAGGGGATAGTTAGAGGGGATAGTTAAGAGGGGAGGGGATAGAAGAGGGGATAGTTAGAGGGGATAGTTAGAAGGGGATAGTTAGAGGGGATAGTTAGAAGAGGGGATAGTTAGAGGGGATAGTTAAGAGGGGATAGTTAGAGAAGGGGATAGTTAGAGGGGATAGTTAAGAGGGGATAGTTAAGGGATAGTTAGAGGGATAGTTAGAGGGGATAGTTAGTTAGAGGGGATAGTTGGTTAGGGATAGTTGGTTAGAGGGGATAGTTGGTTAGAGGGGATAGTTGGTTAGAGGGGATAGTTGGTTAGAGGGGATAGTTAGAGTGTAAAGGAGGAGGAGGAGCGAGGACTCATCTCTCAACTCGGCAGACGGCACGCGCGGCTCACGGTTCCCGACCGATTCCATCACCAGTCTGCAAACCTCCATGGAGAGTCTTAACTATCCCCTCCCTCGGACTTCGGACTTGGCCTCCTATGCATAAGAGATATGTAGCCACCGGAGCGGAGCTATTGAAATCCCCGAGCCTGCGCGCCCGCGTGGCTGTTATTCCGCCATCTGGCGTAAGGCTGAAGGGCGGTGGGTTATGCACGTGATGGTGGTTTCCGCCCCGCCAGGTAATTCACCAACAAATCCCGCTCCGCTCCGCCAATCGAGATATCCCATCCTAGCTTCAACCAGCGAGCTCCAGTGACGGGCTTCCAAGAAGAAGGAAAAAAAAACAAGTTACCACCCCCCAGGCGCGAGCTTCACGACGACGGAATGACGACTATCACACCCCCAGAGTCAGGCTCAGGGGCTGCAGCAGCTGGCCCCTCCTTCCTCCCCCTCGACACCCTTTTCTCCAACCCCCTCTTCGCTGGGGGTCTCGGGCTCGCATCTCTGGGCTACGCAGCTACCCTCGCGCGGCGTGTTGCTATTCGCTCCGGCGCGCTGCTGAAACGACGTCTGTTGGTTTCTCTCGAAGTCTCCAAAAACGACGACGCATACCCCATGCTCCTCGCCTGGCTCTCCCTCCACCGCGCGCCGACCTCGAGGGTCGCCGCAGCCCTAACCCGCGTCCACGACCTCAGCATGCGCACCGCGCGCCGGCCCCTCGGAAACGGCGAGGTCGCAACGACATTCCTCCTCCAGCCTGGCTACGGTCGACACGTCGTGCGCTTCGGAGGCGCCTACCTAGCCGTCCACCGCGAGCGCAAGGCAAGCGCGAATCTAAACACCGGCGAGCCCTTCGAAACACTCACCCTCACAACGCTCTACGCGCACCGCCACGTCTTCGAGGACCTGTTCGGCGAAGCGTACGCCCTCTCCGCCAAGGCAGGGGAGGATCGTACACCCGTCCTCAGCGCGTCGGGGACGGGATGGGCGCCCTTCGGTGAGGCGAGGAGGAAACGGCCGTTGGGGAGTGTTATCCTGGATAAGGGGGTTGCGGAACGGGTGTTGGATGATGTCCGCGAGTTCTGGGGGGCGAGGGATTGGTATGAGCAGAGGGGGATTCCGTATCGGCGGGGGTATTTATTGCATGGACCCCCGGGGAGTGGGAAGAGCTCGTTTATACTTGCGTTGGCGGGGGAGGTGGGGTGTGGCGTTGCCATTGTGAATCTCAGCGAGCGCGGGCTCACAGATGAGCGACTGAGTGTTTTGCTTTCCAAGGTCCCTCCTAAGACGATATTGTTGTTGGAGGATGCGGATGCGGCGTTCGTGGAGCGGAAGGGCGGAGATGGGGGGTGGGGCGGTGTGACGTTCAGTGGGTTGCTCAATGCACTTGATGGTGTTGCGGCGGGGGAGGAGAGGGTGGTGTTCCTGACGACGAATTGGGTGGGGAGGTTGGATGAGGCGCTCGTGAGGCCGGGGAGGGTGGATGTTATTGAGTGTATTGGGTCTGCGACCGAGTGGCAGGCTGGGGAGCTGTGGGATAGGTTTCATGGTGGGGAGGAAGAAGTGGTAGAGCGGGGAGAGGGGGGGGTGGTGGGGAGGAAGGATGGTGGGAGAGAGAGATTCGTGCAGAAGTTGAAGGATGTGGGCGTGTTGGAGAGGGGGATTAGTATGGCGGCGCTGCAGGGGCTGTTTTTGGTTAATAAGGGGGATGCGGAGGGGGCGATTAGGGCGGTGGAGACGCTGTTGCCGAAGGAGATGGAGAGGAAGGGGGAGATGGGGAGGTAGAGCGGGGGGGGGGGGGGGTGGTTTGGTCATGATGAGGGTGGCGTTTAGGGGTGGCGGGGGATATAGATGGGCATAGATTTGTACGAGATTTTCAGAGGATGTGTAGAGATAGTGTAGCATAGCATACAATAATACCCCATCGACGTGGAACGGATGCGCCAACGGCATCCGGATTGTACTCTCGGTCCTGTTCCTTTCTCTGCGGGATGTTTATATAGCTCATCGGCCTGTGACTCCTTCCTTCGATCGAACCAGAAGTACAAGATACAACTTGGTTCTTATAGACTTTGATTTCAAAGCACAGCGAAAAGGCACTGCATTTCCACGAAAAAAAAGCCAGCGGCATAATAAAATCACCGCATTCCGACTCCATTCCCTATCTGATTCGTACACGGCCCCCCCATAGCGCCAAACCTACGCATAGAACCCAATCGTCTCCTTCTTCTTACTCTGCACCTCCGCAATCGCATCAACATAATGCTCATGACTAATCCTGCTCCTCCCATTCCTCAACGCGATCATCCCCGCCTCCACACACACCGCCTTCAGCTGCGCGCCGCCAAACTCGTCCGTGCTGCGCGCCAGCTCCGCCCAGTTCACCGCATCGTCCACCGTCATCTTGCGGCTGTGGATGCGCATGATCTGCGCGCGCGCCTCCTCGTTCGGGAGGGGGAACTCGATTTTGCGGTCCAGACGGCCTGAGCGCAGCAGGGCGGGGTCGAGGACGTCGATGCGGTTGGTGGCGGCGAGGACTTTGATGCGGTCGTCCGAGGCGAAGCCGTCGAGCTGGTTGAGGAGTTCCAACATGGTGCGTTGGACTTCGCGGTCGCCGCTCTTTTCCGAGTCGAAGCGCTTGGTGCCGATGGCGTCGAGCTCGTCGATGAAGATGATTGCGGGGGCCTTCTCCTTGGCGAGGGCGAAGCAGTCGCGGACTAGCTTGGCGCCGTCACCGATGAACATTTGCACTAGTTGCGGACCGGCGAGCTTGAGGAAGGTGGCGTCGGTTTGGGCGGCGCAGGCACGGGCGAGGAGGGTTTTTCCTGTACCGGGGGGTCCGTACATGAGTGCACCTGGGGGAGTTAGTATGAGATTGCTATATCGAGAGATGAACACGTACCCTTTGGTGCCTTGATGCCGATCTTCTTGAAGCGCTCTGACTGCTTCATGGGCCAGACGATGGCCTCCACCAGCTCCTCAATCTGCTTGTTCAGCCCTCCGACATCTGTGTACTTCTCCGTTGGCTTCTCGTCAACCTCCATAGCCTTGACTCTGCTGTCATACTCGGCAGGTAATGTGTCCAGTACGAGATATGAGTCCTTGTTCACACCAATCAGATCTCCCGGTTTCAGCGTCTCGGGGTCGACCAGCCCGATCAATGGGAGGAATATCGTCTGCCGCGTTGACGTCTTGATCACCGCCGACTTCCCCACCCTCGTCGCATCGAGATCAATGTTCGCGCCCTCCTCCTTGGACTCCTCCGTCGGGTCGAGATCGAGAAGCTCAACCACATTCCCCACTAAATACGGTAGTTGCCTAGAAAACACCCAACGTTAGCCCCATATCAAACGAAACGCCTCTGCCTGCACCGCCCCAAAAGAAACATGCCTGTTATTCTCGATCTTCTCCAGGTTATCCTTGATCTTCTCGTTCATGTTAGACTTCTCGTGCGACAGGCGCTGGAACTCGCTCCTCATGATCCGGGTATCGTTCTCGATGAGCTTCCTCCGCGTGTCAATATCCTGTGTCGACAGCGCCTCTATCTCCTCGAATATCGGGTCCTCCTCCTCGGGCTCGGCGTCCTTCATCTCGGCGTCGCCGCCCTGCTCGGGCTTCTTCTTGTCCTTGTCGCCATCCTTGTCTCCGTCGTTCTTGTCATTCTTCAGCTCCCTCTCGATGTCGTCGAGATCTTCGAGTGTGGCCATGGTGAATTAGGAGGTGAGGTATTAGTGGTACAGGGGTTGATGGGTTCGTAGGGAAGGGGATGGATGGCTCGTCGTTGGAATTGCGTCTTGGTAGTTATTGAGGTGCAGTGAGCTCCATGGCGGCGAGCTTCCAACGCGGCTAGCTTACCAGCTGTGTAAGCGAATTGCTGAGGCAGAATACTGACGCGTAAGTCACGTGACCATATAGATTTCAGGCAGGCGAAACTATTATCACGAGGCTACAGTGTGCATTTATCAACTATATTAGAGCGAAAGGGTATAAGTCCTAAAATCATTAATTGGATTCATTGCCTGGCGGCTGCGGAATCTCTTGCGATGCGATCTCTGAATCATCAATCATACACCCGGACGGATGCGAACTGCGTGCACTGCATTCATATCCGAGTTCATCCTTCCTAATCGGAATCTCCATCTGAATCTGAATCCGCGTCCTCTTCTTCCGCTTCTTCTTGTTCTTCTTCTTCCTCTTCTTCCGCTTCTTCTTGTTCTTCTTCTTCCTCTTCTTCTTCCTCTTCTTCTTCCGCTTCTTCTTCCTCTTCTTCTTCCTCTTCTTCTTCCGCTTCTTCTTCCTCTTCTTCTTCCCCTTCTTCTTCCGCTTCTTCTTCCTCTTCTTCTTCCCCTTCTTCTTCCTCTTCTTCTTCCTCTTCTTCTTCCTCTTCTTCTTCCTCTTCTTCTTCTTCTTCTGGCTTTTCTTCCTCTTCCGGCTCCTCTTCCGATTCTGGCTCCGGCGTCTTCTCATCCTCCGAATCATCCGCCACAGAGTCCTCGTCCTCCTCAGGTTTCTTCCGGAGATTCTCAATCACTTCCTTGCGCAGTTCATCAACGCTATTCTCCTCCTCCTCCTCCTCCTCCTCCACTCCATATGATCCACCACGTGCCTCGTGTAATACAAGTCCTCCGGCCCCAAGGGCACCAATAACAGCAAGTGCGTTGTCAGAGCCTGAAGCTTCGGGTGCACCCCCTTCTATAGCCTTAGTCCCGTCGGTCTGTTCCGGTCCTCCAGCCCCATGGTCGTTGGGATAGCCTCCCGGAGGTCCGAACTCCCTCGTCTTGTCGTAGTACTCACCAGCTAACCCATCACCTCGCTCCGAATCCCAATGCTTGTGGTCGCTCGGTGAGATGTATCCCTTTGACGCCTCGTAGGTCTGCACTTCCAGCGGCATATCACGTCTCCTTTGCTCAGCCGTGACATCAACCGCCCCGCCCTTCTCCCATGACGCGCTACCAGCCTCCTCCATCCTAATCCACGCTCTAACCATCATAAGCGCCTTCCCTAGTAGATTCATCCCCCACGTCTCTCGCTGCCCCACCGCTTCCCCAGCTTCATACCCAATCCCCCAGATCCCATCCCGTGGCGACGCAAGGACAAGCTCATCCTCGCCCGTCGCGAGTAACTCGGCTTTCAGATCTCGGTCACGCACCAGGCTGTGCGCGAACTTATGATACGTAGCTTCCTCCACGATGCCGTAGCGGTCCTCTTCCCATATCTTCTCGTCGAAGTTGTCGACGCCGCGGGCGAGGGCGCGGATGTCCTCGACGTTTGGCTCGTGGCCGATGCGGGCGGCGATATCGGGGGCGGCGAAGAGCATGGCCATTTTGGAGAGCATGTAGCTGGGTGTTTGTTAGGCGGGGTGCTGGAGTGGGGGAGGGGAGGGGGTGCACTTACTGTTCTGTGGTGGGCCAGACGGTTTCGGTTTCGTTGCCGTGGAAGGGGGCATGGGAATCTTGGGAGAGGAAGGCGAAGGAGGGGTTTGTGTCCCCCCAGAAGAAGATGGGCGGCATGGTGATTGAGGGGAGGATATATATGGATGATGTGGGGTGTAGTGTGTGCAGTGAAGGTTGGAGTAGAGGTGGTGAGGATTGTTGGAAAACTATTGGAAGACTGTTGGAAGAATTTACCTCAGACTCACATTTGTTGGAAGAGCACTGCAGGTGGGAGGACTCGGCTTTAAAGCAGTCAAGTGTCGCAGCCAAGTCGCGGTCCGTCTCTTGCAGTGCCGTATACCCATAGTGCATTCATACTCTGGATAAAGGTGCGATATGTGCGACCTGCGCCACGCTTATAGCCACTCTGGTCGAGATGTAATGTTGGCTGGTGACTGCGCCTTCAGCCACGCCAAGCGCCAACAACGGCGGTGGTGGGAATGGTGAGGGCCAAGAATTTCATATTGTCATGTCATACCGAATTGTCTACAGTACGTTCAGTACCACTTATTCATGATATCTTCTATGATATCCGCTTCTATGCCACCACAGCAGTAACACCATCGTTGCCGCTGCTCAACCATGAGATTCTCACAAGGCTGTCGGCGGTCGTGGTTGTGCATCTTGCAAGGCTGACAGATACCAAGGGGTACGGCTCAACCGTTCGCTGGCGCCACACCAGACGGACGATCATGTTGATCTCTCACATCCTCTCCAAAGATGCCAAGATGTCCATGATATCCCCCTCCCCCCTCACCATCGCGGAATCTATCCCACGGCCGATCCTTCCCACTATAAGCGTTTTGGCAGGTGGACCGACCCCTAGCGGGAGACCCTGCCGAAGTGACAGGACGCGGTTTTAATTTGCCCAGACGACGGACGGCGAAAGTTGCCCGACTTACGATTTCTACCCCCAGCTCTCTCCAACACAGCAGCAATAATCCACATCTCCACCCCCCTTTCTTCCTCCTCCCTCGCCTCTGCCGCGTTTCCAAAGCTCCAGCCCGGCTACTCCCCTAATGGCGACCTCCTCACCGCCCACGCCGGCTGCACAACGCACAGCACATGCGACGAGTGTTACGGCAACGGCTATGTGATCTGCGCGGAACACTACTGTTTCGACCTCGGGAAGGGACAGCGATGTTGCGTGGATGGATGTGCGTGCCCCCCCCATAAATCCAACCGAGGTACCAAACTGATAAAAGGATAACGTATTTCACAAGCGAGTTGCCTGAGTTGCCTACCAAAACACCAAAACGCGTCAACTTGACTACAGACAACATGCCACAACCAACACAAGTGCAATCCTCTATTCAAGAGGGTAGACTACTTCTAGCTATCTAGGCACTAAAGGAACATCAATTTAAGAGTGTCCGAGCTGCTACATCGTCGTTTGACGTGCTACATAGGACCTAAGCAACGGAATGAATGGAATAACTTCCTAACACGACTCTACCCCTAGTTAAAGAACTTAACTTCGTACAAAGAGTTAGCTCTTGTTTAGTACATTCTCAACCTAGATTCATATTGATTTCGACCCTAGCTACAAGCTGTATCAGAAATGTTGGACAATATCCGTAGGGCAGTAGGTAGAGAATATAAGCCGAAAATACAGTCACGAAGCAGTAGGGCCCGAAGTGATAATTTTATAATGCATGTTTTTTATAATTGAAGCTATTCTAAGTACTATATATACTGTTACAGGTGTGCCTATTCGTGGTTCGGATCCTAAAACCCTCCTGGTTACAGTTCGTTCCCTGGAGCTTCAGAATCGAAGCTTTAGAATCGGAAGATCCAGGATCCGGAGGATCACGAAGCTGGCTGACACAGCTTCGGTATCAGGGCCCTGATACCTGCTTCCGAGCCGAGGATTCAACAAGAAATGGCAGACCTTCTACTCTCTAAACAAGGCAAGAGCCCTATTAGGATTAACTAGACTACAAACTTCATAAAGTGTTGTATAGAAATCAAAGCAAAATGTGAAGATCTAAAAATAATTTAAGGGTGGTGCTCTCTTATACGAAACATAGTTGCAAAATACAGCATCTTAGAGTAGGATATCTACAACTTTAATAAAGTAGGTTTTATAATAGGTTATTACTACAATAAAGGTAGTTACAAGCTTAGAAGCAAAGAGCCGTCTAAAGGCTATATAGCTAGGGAATCCTTATTCAATTGTAATTAATTCCTAGTGCTTCTTGCACATACAGGCATTGTGGCCTATAATACCACATAAGCCATAGCACTTCTGTCAGCCCTTAGAGCCCACCTACCAACTACTCTTACTAGCTACCTTAGGACTCTAAAGGATATCCTCTCCCTCTTATACAGAGAGACTACCTATAACGCTGACTTCTAAAAGATAGAAGACACAGAGGTTTCTTGCATAAGGTTGGTGTTACGGCTACAGTAACATGATGTCATGGTTACAGGGCCAGGGCCTAGTAACGTGACGTGTGAGTCACAGTGGGAAGCGGGGTAGGCTGCCATGTGACGGGGCTAATGGATAGTTGCAGAAACTAGTGGATATTGGATAGTTGAGCTATCCACGAACTATCCTGAATATCTAGCTATCCGCCAACTATCCAGATTACCCATGAGGCACGACGCCACTATATAAGTAGATAGTATTTCCTTAGATAGGAGCTTCGTGCTCAACTCAATATAGTATTCTTTACAATACTGTAACGTGTTACTTGGAAAGCCTTTGTGTCTAATCCCCTGCCTCCTCTGTCAAGTCAACCTTACGCAAGAAACCTCTGTGTCTTCTATTGTTTAGAAGTCAGCGTTACAGTTGGCTTGACAGAGGAGGCAGGGGATTAGACACAAAGGCTTTTCCAAGTAACACGTTACAGTATTGTAAAGAATACTATATTGAGTTGAGCACGAGCTCCTATCTAAGGAAATACTATCTACTTATATAGTGGCGTTGTACCAAAGGGATATCCGTGGATAACATGGATAACATAATATCCATGATATCCAATATTATCAATCACGTGAGGTTGCAGCCGTAAGCGCTAGCCATAGCACTAGCATTTAGCCGTAATGTCATACTGACATTCGTTGCACTCAGTTTGCTATCAAAATCAAGAGCAAACTTGGAAATCTCCTCCTCAAACCTACAAGTCACTATACATATTTTGGCTTATCACACCAACAACAAGAGCAATACTACTCAACGATTGATACAACCATCTATGATTCATTACACGTCATTGCTCCTTAGTTACTGGGCCGATATTACCACATAGCATATCTCTACAACTCTCTATGATTCATTACATGACATCACTCATACTACCACATGACATATCTCTACCAACTAGAGGCCTAGGAGCATGAACGATAGCTCTAAAAGCTCCTACCAACCTCTATGATTCATTACATGTCATCGCTCTTTAGTTATCCACAAGATTGGTTAAGTTATGACATAATTTGTCTATGACATAATTTGTCTATAGTGGTACTCTGACCTTGGACCTCCTTTTACTTCCTATAGGCTACGAACCTAAGAGATGGTTCTATGGGATTTTCTTACATTCACTACATGATTAGCAAGCTATTTGTGGGTCGCACTTGATTTCTAATACAGTTACCAAGCCTGGTTAGTCAAGGAAAGTCTTGGAAAATGAGAGAACTACACTGTTACGACGGAACAAGAAGGCTGGCCAACTACAGGACAGGAAGGAGGGAGGTCGCATGAGACCGGCCCTGGTACCTGGAGGGGCAGCGGGGAATAGTAGTTCCGAAAGTATCACGTGACGGACTCACAGGATGATGAGAAGAGTCCTAAGAGTCCAGGACTCCGAGGACTCGAGTGAGTTCCCAGGAGTCCACTAGGCACGTGATGGACTCGCAGGATGATGAGAAGAGTCCTAAGAGTCCAGGACTCTGAGGACTCGAGTGAGTTCCCAAGAGTCCACTAGGCACGACGCCACTATATAAGTAGATAGTATTTCCTTAGATAGGAGCTTCGTGCTCAACTCAATACAGTATTTGTTATATACTAGTAACGTGTTACTTGAAGCCTTTGTGTCTGATCCCCTGCCTCCTCTGATAAGTAAACCTTTACGCAAGAGAACCTCTGTGTCTTCTATCGTTTAGAAGTCAGCGTTACACTTTGAGCACCACTTCTACGAGGTACCGGCTTACACACAAAGCAACATGTCTGTCGTCAGTTCGAAGGGGAAAACCCCCACCACGCCAACTTCGTCTCAGAGGTCTAAGCCTGAGAATGAAGAGATGCCCGATGCACCCACCGTCAACGAACTCAAGGAAACTCTACGCGTCAAGTTGCCCGACACTTACTCCGGCAACCGAAAGGAACTTGAGGTGTTTTTGCTACAGGTCGAACTGTACCAGCACTTCAATGATGAGAAGTTTCCCACCCAGGAGAGCTATGCCCTGTGGACTGCGTCCTACCTTAGGGGGGAAGCCCTGCGATGGATCGAACCATTCCTCAAGGACTATTTCAAATATGAAAGTACCAATGGAAGCATGACAACTACGCAGACTATGTTTGGCAGCTGGAATGGATTCTGTAAGGAAATCCGACGCATGTTCGGAGACATCGATGAGATTAAGACCGCAGAAGACCATCTGTTTGCACTTAAGCAGACTGGCAGCGCCCTCACGTACTCCACAGAATTCCAGAGATACGGCAATCAGACAGGATGGGACGCCAGCGCACTCATCAGCCACTACCGACGTGGGCTGAAGAGCCATATACGTATGGAACTTGCCCGTTTGGAACAACAACCAACGGACATGGTAGCGCTAATCGAACATACGGTCCGAATCGACAATCGACTATACGAATTCCAGAAGGAACGTCGGACCTATGACAAGCCCAAGAAAAGTTATCCCTACCGGGGAAACGAGGGCAGACGACGGGATCAACACCCGCGAGACAACCGTTGGTCGGACCCAATGGAACTCGATGCCACGTTCAAACCTGGACGACCCCGTGACCCTAAGAAAGACAGACAATTCAAGGAACGACTCTGTTTTAACTGCGACAAGCCAGGCCACATGGCCCGAGACTGCAGACAGCCAAAGAAAGGGAACGGCGGACGCAAAGTCGGCAAACAACTCAATGCCACCTGGACAGGACAGTTGAACGCAACGTTTGTGAGCAAACAGGACTGGGGAATAAACGGCGAAAGCACCCCAGAAGACGAGAGCTCAGATGAAGGGTCGGAGGCGGAATCATTCACCGTCTCGGAACAGGAGACCTTCGATGAACTCGCACCTACGGAACCAATGAGTCCACGGTGCAAGAGCGTAGTAAGACGCATGGCAAAACACGCCCACGCGAAGATTAGGGCCGAACGAGACAAGCCCAATGGCCAGAGGAGAATCCCCATGCTTAAAGACCTCTACGGGAACCTGTTACAGGGACTTCCGTTAGAGTGCAAGGTGGACGACTGCAAGGATGACCTCTGGAGATACTACGACCAACTAACGAATACCCGCAGGCTGCTTGGCACGTCCCAAGACGTAGCTAAGTTGGAAGCCCAAGAAGCGGAAGAACTGGAGAAGGATGTCGAGCATATGGCTAAACTGAAGTATATGAAAAGCGTCGAACTTTACTACCAGGACCGCAGGAGAGCCCTGGAGAAGTACGACGAGAAAGCCAGAGATATGCTCCGACGGGAAAATGCGAGACCCACTCCACGCATCGAAAGGAGAGCCATGGAGCAACTAGACACGTTCTCCACGCCTCCGAGGGAAGATAGTGCATGGGTGAGAGGACAGCGGGAACTATCAACGACAGACGCAACAGAGACTGATCATCCCTGGCACGCGTATGTCTACTGGGAGTATTGCAGCGAAGATGACTGCAAGCTCCACTGGAAAAAGAAACACCAGAATCAGTTGTTTCCCCGATCCTCGCCCAGGATACACTTCAGAGACGCAGAGCAAGTTCACGCCCTCAGGCGAAGCCAGTCTGAAGGGGACTTGCCTATCAAAAGCGAACAGGTATATGAGAAATACCCACATCTGCTAGACGAAGCAGAAGAGCGAGGGAAACGATCTCCCCAAGGACCACCATTGGAAGCGGATGAATACTATCCTTCCTCGGACGAGTCAAAAAACTAGGAGTCCTCGACGGTAGGCCACCGGCGAGCGACACGAAGAGGCCTAGTACAGACCAGCTATGCGCCACGACGGGCATCATGCAACTATATGTGGTCGCTAAGATACAACAGCGACACCTCCGAGCAATGAT